GTCTGAGGCCTTCCACAAACCGCAGCCTCAATTCATGCTCCAGCCGTCTGCCATTATCTACTAGAAACACTATCAAACCTAAACGAGGACGCGGTCCCAGCTATTGAATTAGCATTTAGCTCAATCTTCATGTCAACACACACAAATTCACCAAGTCCGTGAATGAATAAATCCCTGAATATCACTCAAAACTTTCCTTTTCTTGTATAGGCAACAAAGAGAATAAACAGTGGGTTTGAGATTGACTTTTGGCTTATGCAACCACTGTTTTGCTCTTTACACAGACTTTACATGCATGCTAATCTGACTACTTCGTAAAGCACACACTACAAATGGAAACCAGAAAGTTTCAGGTACCAAATTTTTATCCCCTGCCTACAGATACTGCAGTTTCGCATGCAGATATCTATTTATGCTGATTATGCTGAAAGCCTTTGAAGCCTCTTTATTTTGGCGTGAGGTGTCATTAACGGATTTAATAAAGAATCAAACAAGCAGAATGGATAATGGCATTTTACCAATAAAATCCTATCAATATTGATTCCATGTCACAAAACACACCAACAGCAGAGAAGGCATCATATAATTTAAACATTAACTTGAGGAAATGCTGCGGTGTCCAAAACCTCACGCTTTGTTTTAATAAACCTGACTTACTGGTTTCCAAAGTCTTTCAACGCGCAGCAACATTTCCTTCCTTTAACTGGAAGTGTCTGCCAACAGAGAGCCATTGACCCAGTGCTGGACAGGCGTTGGTGGATATGTCCAACCTTTGATGTTGGACTCAGCCTCAGTCCTGTTGCCCAGAATTGAAAGAACAGGCAACACTTTCATCTGCAGTTAAATAAACGACTCAAAGTCAAAATAATTTGAACCAGTGGAAAGCACTCTATGTAATGATGAGTGAAGATTCGTGTTTGCTACGGCTTCAGTTGGCTCGGTCATGAAAGCAATCAGATCCATCTGCAGATAAGTGATTATGAAATTGCAGAGAGTATTTGGTAACATACAGATAGTATAAAAGCAGAAGCCACACCAACCTAGAAGCTATGACTAAACCACAGCTGTTTTTTTTTACTCATTGGAAAAGGGAACACTGGTCTACTAAAAAAGCAAAACAGTGAATATATGCAACACTCAAAGTAAATATACATCCTACAAATACTTCAGTGTTGTTTATCCCGTGCAAGCAGCATGCAAGTACAGCTCAAAGCGTGCTTTGTATTGGAATCGAGGTCACACTTGTAACATTGTGACCTTAAACAAGATGAATAACCTAGAAAGTTGAACAAACCACTGACTTTCAGAGTAGGAAAACCGCCAAATTAAAAAGCAGCTAAATTTATTTAAAAGTGAAAGTCAGGTGCAACTGTCACTTTTCAGGTTACTCCAAATAGTAAACCTGTTCACATATATATATGTATACATATATATATGGATTACCCTTATGCTTTATATTCTGGATTAATCCGCCATGAACAGTTTACCCCAAAACTAAGTTTTCCTTGTCTGTGAAGGTTCTCAGTCATCCAGGTCATCGTAGTCAAAGGAGCTTGCAAAGAAAGGCGTCTGGACTTCTTTAAGTTACTTGAA